AAAACAAGTGACAAAGAGCAACTGTTGGTGTAGGCATTTTAACTATCCTCCCCCCTGCAGCCTACATCTAGTCAGTTCTCTATCTTTGCTTTTTTTTGAAATCTCATAGTTTCAGGAAATGTAAGATTTAGGGGACGTTGTAGTATTTTGCAGAACTGAAGCAATATTTTATGTGAAAATTTCTGATAGCCTTTTAGGGTGATTTTTCTGGGTTTGGGGGTAGAATATATAGCAGGATTGGTTTTCACTTCTTTTTTTTTTTTTTTTCTTTTTTTTTTTTTTAAGATTTCAGTGGGAACATGCAGCAGTAAAATATTTCTTTCCTTCCTTCCCCATGTCATTTCTCTATTGGAGTAGACAGTAATTGCCTTTGGGACAAAAAGGCAAAGCAGAACACGTGTTTTATCCAATGGTACTTCAGAGTCATTATTAGTTCTGTTCTCTTCAGAAAATAAAAAAACTGAGTTTCTACTAAACTCCATCCTCTAAAAGGGGCAGGTAAAATTCAAATTTCTGCTACTCTTGCTTTATATGCACCTAAACCACTGCAGCTGATAGTGTTCAGTGAAAGACACTTGCAGGTCTTACCATCAAATTAAGTCAAAGTGATCTGGTGACAGGTAAGTTGATAATTTCTTCTATGGGGATAGAGCTGAACTTCCGTATTTCTTTGCAAAGGGTGCATCCCTTAAAAATGAGAAACAGGTATAGTGGTTTTGTTACATTATTCATGTGTCCAGTCCTGTGTTGGTGGCTAACCAAAGCTTTCGTTCTGTAGAAGGTGAAAACCCAAATCATCCCTCGAAGTGTATCACACACAGTCTCATGAACAGCCAGGAAATAAACCAAGAGCTCCGAGACACCAGAGAAGCCAGAGTCATAAATCATTAATGCATGTCAGTCACATTCCAGGCACTAGGCTGTGGTAGTGGAAAGCTCTCAATTCAGATGTAATGTATTAAAATATTTTCTGAGTTTTCCTTTCTCAAAAAAAGTCCTTCCTGTCTCTGCATAGCATTTTGTAGTTTTAGTTCATTGTTGTTTCATTCTGTTGTCTGCAGTTCTGCATCATAATGTTCCAGGATGCATTCATATAAGGCAGTTACCAGCTACTGTAAACATTTTTTACTTGTTAGGGTTTTTCCAAAAACTTAAGTGAATTTTCTAATTTAAAACAACTAATGAGGATGAAAAAAATAAAAGCTGTTTAAAACATCTCCTGCTGTAACCAATCATTGCTCTATGAGGGATTATTACTCAGGTGCTGTTCAGTGAATAGCTGCCTTGCCCAAGAGAAAGTTATTTAAGAAGATTTTTGAAGGCTTCATTATCCTGTTTTTCAGTGATTATTGGGGAGTGTAAAATAGCCTTTTCTTCTATTCTGGATATTTCTTCTATTCAAGTTGAGATACTTAAACTGTGCTTTGGACAACTGTGTAGATATTCTTAAAGAAGTGCTTTGGGGGGTTTTAGAGCCCTCTGCATACATTTCTGGTAATTTTTAGGGCTTGGTTACCTGATTTTGACATTTAGCAATCTTCACTGGGATTGCATGTTTCAGGAATATAAGGTTTGAACTAACAATGGTTGAAGTATTTTCTTAAAGCTGTTAGAACTAAGTGAAGAGATAATAATGTCAACATTGCAATCATCTTGGAGGGGAGAGGGGGTTAGTGGGGTTTGGGGAAAGAGGTGGGGGGTGAGATGGATTGATTTCACAAGATGAAACTTCTGATAAAATGTCCTTCTAGCACTTTAAAGTTGTCACCTCTTTAACCACCAGTTATTGAAAAGGCAACCAAAGTTTCTCCAGTGATAACAGATCCCTTCATAACCAAGCAGAAAAACAAAAAATCATTCAGCTTGCTTCACTTACATCCCTTGTAGAATGTGAGGTTTCTGTTTCCCTGTTGACTGTAGATTTGGACTATCAGACTAGTCCAGGTTTCTGGTTTTCAAAGGCCTGAGTTTCTCTAGATGCAAAATGAGAGCAAACTTACATATCTTAGCAGTATTGCAGTTGAGAAAAACGAAGTAGATTCTCTCTTTCATCAACAATTTTAAGTTTGTCCAGAAATTTGACAAGGAGAAAACTTGAATGAAACATCTGTTTGAGTGTGCACAAGTCCAAACTGAATGAAGAGATTTTTTTTCTAGAATTGCTGGAGTTAAGGCTAACCAGCCCTAACTAAATAAATACTCTGACAAAAATTGGCAGCCATATGAATTAGATACCCACAACTCTTACTGAAGTACATTTCCAATGGAGGGCCGAGACATTTCCTTCAGTGAACTGCCAGTAATAATCCATAAGGAGATTTTAACTATCAGGAAGTTATATGGGAAAAGGCTGGAGCAAAACCAAAGCACTGTAGAATTGTGGTCCTGAAATTAAGAGTTAAAATGATGACCCAGAATACTGATCAAAGCTGTCTGTCCCAACCTATCCCACCATGTTTTGTTCACTCTTGGATGTGCCAGTTTTCCATTCAGCTGTCACTTCTACAGTTAACTATCTTAACAAACTCTGTTTGAGGCTAACCTTTAAGTCCGTTCAAGATCTTTAGGTAGTGTGTGAAAAACTTTCCTGTCTGTGAAAGCAGCACTGAGTGAAGAGATGGGATCTCAGCACCTCTAAACAGCTTATGACCTGGCGTTTTAAAACATTTTTCCATCTTCTACTTTGCAATAATTGAGCAGAGTTACTTTAGACAGAATGTTGAAACAGCTGGAGTGGTTGCGTGGTGCCTGGCACTCAGTGGGTTTGGGGAGGTGGTGGATGGGTTGGCCATTCCCCACTGGTGTGCAGTTAGTACTGGTTTAAATGATAGGAGGGATTTGAGAGTCCAAGGTAATACCTACAGTGGATCTGTATGTATTAGTGTCATCCAGACACTATTAGACCTGCAAGATAAATTTTCTCTGATAGAAGGCTAAATGACAGTGTCATAAATTACCCTAGAAAAGAAAACCAAAGTGGGATAAGGACATGTTCTGCACTGCTGTCACCTCACAGATGGCTATCTTTGCTGACTTACTAGCTATTAGAGTCTGCATATGTCTCAAACTACTAAATACATACAAAAGGATGCCTTCGATGTGGACATAATAGACTGACAAGCTTGATTTGTATTTCTGTATTAGCACTAACCAGTAGAAGAATTGTATACAAAAGTGTGTGGGTGGGGAAAAAATTATAGAGTTGAAGTGAATAGAGATGCTCTTCTGGTTTTAATACATTGTTATTTAACCGTACCAGTTTGAATTCTTCCACAATGAAATGCTTATATTTAAAAAAATAGATACATATTTCATTTCTCCCTGTTGATGTTTTCCACCTTTATCTTTTGGGTGGGTATGAAAAGCACTCGTGTTACATATTTATAAATTCTAAAAAGTACATTCTTCTTTGTTTGATAGGATTTTCTGATAGCATGTCTCTAAACTATTTTGATTTATTTTACGTAATAAAAAGGGAAAGGATAAAAAGTTCTGTTCTGTTTACTTTTCTCTGATTCATACTGCTTCCTGGAGATCACTTATTATTCTGTTTGGTACATGAAGTACCAAAGGGTAGGAGTTAAAGCTCTGCCCCAAGGAACTTGTAATCTAATTAAAGCATATGAAACTGCATTCTAAGATCTCAGTGGAGCTGTTCCACCTTTTTTGACTATATATTTGTGTGCAGCCATCTGAGAACCCAAGTAACAAATCAGAAGGTGTAGTGGGTTTGATAATCAGTTACAGTTCTCCCCACAAACTACCATCACTGCTGTCAAAAAGAATTCTTCTCCTGTTGAAAAGTCTGGGTTTGGGGTCACAGGAGGTCATAGTCTCAGAAAGGATCTACATCCCGTGAGATAACAGCAGCAGTGAAAGCTTGCACTCCTTCCCTTAGGAGTCAGTAAGGAACTAATGAAAAATAGTCTGAGCAGACAACTTCCAGCAAGTTGAGATTATAAATAAGATTCTTACCAGAACAGCACTGTTGAAAAATTGATATTTTTGATGGGTAGAGTAGCCTATTTAGGATGTCTATAACTGCTTGGATTATTTGTGGGGAAGGGTATCTGGCATACAGCAGAGCTGGCATGAGCCCCCATCTGCTGGTAGTGCTTGAATGGCCTTCGTTTAAGCCTTGAAGTCCAGTTCTTTGTTTTGCATTCTCACCAATGCCCTGTGTAAAGGCATCAGAGAGCATGACTTTCTTCTAGACATGGCAACAGTGAGGAGAATGATAATGATGAAATGCATCTCACTGTGCAGAGAGAATTCAGGAATATCTATGTTGAATGCATAAACATTGATCTAATTAAATTTTTCACATACGTACATACTGCTTATTGGAATTCGTACTGCTATGCTAACTTCATCAGTCTGCCAGAGTTTGAAACTGCAGCATCAAGTACTTAATGAACAGATTCATGAGTAATCTCTAGGAAGTGCTTAGAATTAAGGCCAAATCTAAGGAGCTTTGTACTTCTTATGACATTTTTCACCCTTTGGCTTTCATATTATGGAAGCCACATAAAATCAGCAAGGAGTCTTAAATTCATTCTTTGAAGGTATTAGAAAATACTGCAGAACACTGTGCTTGCTTTTTTCTCTCAGAATGTATGGCATTTATTTTCTTAGAAAAATAAGAGTTGGATTTGGCATCTTTGCTCTGTGCTGTAAATCATCATTACTAGGTAAAGTGTTTAGTCCCTTAATAGTACTACTCAAATCCCTGCTTCTCAAGGGAAAACTTATGAGAAGCTCTACAAATCTGATGGAATAGAATCAAACCAGGAGATTCAGGGAGTATAAATCAAATAACATCCTGTTGGTATGCAAATAGCAGTGTTATTGACTTATCCTCAGTAAGCATTACAATCCTGAAAACAGGACTTCTGGTGAAATGATACTTTGCATTTTCCTTTTTTCCCTTCTCATGTTTCCCCCTGACAGATATTGTTTAAAATTCTGCTAACGTACTGTGTCTGTTTCATATTTTGCAGGATTATGACTTGAGCCAGCTCCAGCAGCCTGACACTCTGGAACCAGATGCCATCAAACCTGTTGGAATCAGACGTCTTGATGAAAGGCCAATCCATGCAGAACCTCAGTATCCAGTCAGATCAGCTGCTCCTCATCCTGGGGACATTGGGGACTTCATTAATGAGGTAAAGAAGCGAAAAAAGGTTTCCTCCTAAGATCTGATAAGCTTTTATATTTTGTTTATTCTACTCCGCATGAGTAGCTGTTATGTTAGAACATAATAACTTTTTAAAACTTCCTCAGACAATTAAAATTGTCTCACTAGACAGAAATAAATACAGTCTTCTAAAGTACAGACAAATTTAATTAACTCATTCAAACAGAAAGGGAAAGATGTATCAATTAACTTCTGTGCATCCGTATTAATTACATTCATAGTACGTTATCAGCAGCAACCACAATATCTCCAAGCAGGATTATGCAATGGGTTGCAAGTAATAAACAGAATAACAAAATTGTATGTAGCCTGAACTCATTTATTAATTCACAGTAATTTAATAATGGAAGAAGTTCATTTTCATTCTCCTCATACATTACCCTTTGAATCCAGATAATAGTGGAAATTCAGTACCTTCAATAAGACCAAAAGAATTCCGTCAAATACGATTAGTGAGCAGGGCAGCTAAATTAAATGTTATGTAAGTGCTTTTAATACTTGTCTTGTCATAGAGCTTTCAAAGATTTTGCATTATCTTTGATTCTTCAATCTAATAAATGTAATTGAGATTCAGACTATACAAGAGTACTGATAGCTCTGAAAGAAATTATCCTCATTATTTCTATCACTGGTCAGTCTTAAATCATTGGTGTTATGGTACTTATGATAGAACATGTTTCTTGTGTTTGCTGGTTATAGGGAAAAAAAAAAAAGCTAACCCAGATTTACTTCTATTTTTACTTTATTCTGTACTGAATTGTAGTAGTTAATTATTTCTCATATCTTCCTTGTCAGCTGGAGCTGGACACATATTGCAGAGTATTGCAGAACAGTTTCTGCAAACGTGTTTATTCTTGTTTGCCTTGAAGAAAAGTCATGCTAATATACTAAAGTCTTTTGTGTTAGAAAGCTGCAGAAAATTGAATTTGCCCCTTTTAAGGTATACGGTGATACAGTTGTCAAAAAACTTAGAGGAGAGTTGACTAGCAGGAAATGTACAAATATTCTTGTAAGATGTATTTTAAGAGACTCCAGTTTTACTCCAGAGACTGCCTTACACTTCTAAATATTACAGTTATAATTGGCTTCTGGAAAATAGTGGAGACACGGGACAATAAAAGGCCCACATAGCTGGCCAAGGCAGTGTACACACAAGAACTTCCTTGTGCTTCCAAACACTCGGAGATTCCCATCCTGTTCTCACACAGCTGTGGTCAGGCAGTGCCCACCTGGCAGGCAGTAGTGAAGAACCCTGGTTTTTGTTGTTCTCAAAGCAGCCAGGAGGCTCTGTTATGGAGCAAAGGCAGGGAATGGGTCTCATTCTGCTGGAAGGCCGGAAAGGGGCCAGAGGTTGTCCATCCTCCTAAGATTTTGTAATGACTTAGCAAGCTGTTCTTGCAATATTATTTTTCAGTAGGTTATCACTCTTGAAGCTGATAGCATCAGTGTGTACACATGGGGCAGAAGAAACAGTACGTGTTCTCTTGATTTAACCCTGTACGTTTATAATGCATTACAGACGAGCATGGAGTAATTTTTTTCCTGCTACTGTCTACTGTACTATATCAGTGCCTCCCTTTATGCTTTGCCTTGCCATCCACCAAAAAAGAAAGCTTCTCCCAGCTATTCATACACAGTAAAATAGTGTCATTGATTAAGAAAATATGTGCAAATATATATGAAGTTAAAGAAAACACGGCAGTTTTCTTGTCTGCAACTTAGCTCAGAATTAATTATATCTTCTGATTGAAAGGAACTGTGTGAGGTAGTTTCTGTGTTTTAAGGATTATATATTTAGCTTGTCTTCTTCATAAGATTTTTTTTTATGAGAATTTTACAGGAATGTATTGTTTTACTGTGGGGCATTCCATCTAACCCTCTGTCTAGCAGACAGTAGCCACCCAAAGATTGTCTATGCTCTGTTTTCCCAGAAGACTGAGCAAAATAGGCATTTTATTTCTCTAAAATAGTGTCAGCTTAATTTGTGTTTTCTGTAAAAAATTTCCCATGACAGATGTGATTCTAAATTGTCTGCTGGGTGTGGGAGAAAATGGGTATGTCTTTCATAGGAGTATTCCTATGCAGATTGTTACAGTTAAATTTCAAAATTATCAGTGTCTAGAGTATAAATTTTCAGGCTGCACAGGTTTTCAGACTCTCCAGAAAATTGCACCTGCAGTCCTGGTGTGATTAAACCCAAGAAACTTGGTAAGTTTCTCTCAGTTTTACTTGAGGTAAATTGAAAAAATATCTTGAATAAAGCCTGTACCAGACATTTCTTAAGGCAGTTCCTAAAGAAGATAAGCTGAGCTGTGGAAACAACATAGCAAGATAAGAAAGAGCAAAGTTCATATCTCTCTGCATCCAACTTCAATATTATTAGACGTAATTCTTCCCTTGGGCGTCTCTAACCCAAACCACCCACCAAACTAGCCCAGTCCCTAGCTGAGCAGGGAGAGGCTGCTTTTGAACTGTCAGCACTTCAGTAGCAAAGTCTGCATTAGGCCCTTGATTTGAAAAGATGCAACACTTTCGGAGATGAGTCCAGTCTTTTGGAGGACTTGACCCTATTCCAGGAGATGTGGGTCAGTATGGTCTTTTGAGATGCTGGTCCACATGTGGAAATTAATTTAATCTGTTGAATGCTCACCAGCACCTCAGATACACTGTTTAGATTAGCTTCTGAATTCCTTTAGCTTTTGACAAAAAATTTATTTCAGATACTGGAGGGTTTAGCTCCCATTTCCAAGCAAGCCATGGGAGTTTTCTTCTTATTTTCCTTACAGAGTCATAGAAACAAAAAGCAAAAAAAAATATCCAGTGGGTCATTTAGGTTTTTTCCTTTTAGCAGTACTCTGTTTCTTCTGGTATATTATTTTCTACCTGTCATTCCTTGTATTAAACCTACTTAACTCAATGAGACATACATAAGTATGAGTATTTTGTAGTGTTCTGGTGACTTCTCAGTTGAAAAACAAGTTAGAATTACAATAAAAAGTCTTGCATTTTTATAACACAAAGTTGAGATAGCACGCACAAAGCTATGAACTGTTTAAAACAGGAAGGTTCCAGAGGTGTCTGATAGTCAAAATAGGTTTTGCAGGCATAAGCTAAATGACCTCAGGGACTTTCTTGTTTTGTCTGTTTCAATGGATAGATGAATCTGTAATTTAAGAGGGGAAGGGAAAAACCTCCTTTTCTTCCAGTCCAGTGTACAAACAAGTCAGTGAAATAAGTCATGTATTATTAAGAATCCTCTGTAGACTTTGTTTTCCATTTCGAGCCTTTCAAAGCCTAACCTGCAGAGTGTGGAGCATAATTAACACTTAGAATAGTCAAGATTCACAGGACAGTATAAATTAGACCTGTTTGAAGTAGTTTTGTTAATCCTGTTTTCAAGACCCACCTATATTGTCCCTAGAAATCTCAAGAAAGTTATATTGTGGTGGAGAATTTCTGGCTAAGAATAAATTTATAATCAATAGAGGACATTGCCTGAGGTAAACTAAATTTAAATTGCAAACTAAAGGTCTCATCCCATGGAGACATGGAGGACCCTCAATTCATTCTTAGTAAATGGTTATTGATACAGTGCACCTCCATGCAAAATGGAGTCCCTCGATGGTTCCAGATATAAACCAATTTGTTTTTTGTATTTCCCTGAAGGTCTCTCTTCTTCCTTTCCTTCTCATCAAAAGTCTGCTGAATCTGATTAGGTAGCAGGATTAATGAAAATAGAAGCATTAGATTTTGTAATGGTCCATGTTAGTTCAAGATTTGAGAGGGCTGCTTTCCTTTAACTTGAGTGAAATGGAGAATGCCTGCCTGTATTAAGGCACGTTTACTGTTGTTCCTCAACCAAGGCACTCTTAATTTCTCCAGTTCTGCCCCTTATCACCTTCCTAGTGAAAGCTCTACTATGTATATAAAAGAGGAAAAGGAAATAAGTGAGCCTGTCCAAGGTCTCAAGCTGGCCTCTCTGTTGCTGTGGCTCTTCTGTGACTGCTTGTTGTGCACTGGTGGTGTAGCACACGTAAAGAAATGTGATAATTCACTGTCCCCCCAGGTGGTTCCCCTGCTCCTGAGGATGTGCCCCAGAAATTCTGTTGTTGAATGAGCTTCTCACTCTAATGAAAACTTTGCATTTTCAGATCAGGAAACTGTAAACCAAGTAACTGTAACGGCTCTGTTGCTCTGAGGTTCTTGAACACATCCGGTAAAAACTGAGATCTCTTTTCAGAAGTGACTGACAACGAATGCCTTGGCAACAAAATCAGTAGAAGCCGCTCCTGGCAGCCATTTGTTGTCTTTTTGGTTGTGCAGATGCAGCAGGTCATGTATCCATACCACCTCCACCCACTGAAAGGGGCAGTATAGTAAAAGAAAAAAGGTGGCAGTGCTGAAACCAAAGGGAGCTTCTAAGCTGATGGCACTGCCCGTGCCAGGGCTGTCTGGCATGCTGTAGAGCCCAACAGCAAAGAGCAGCATCACACTGGGTATGCTCAAAAAATTGGCTTAGCAGAGGGAAAGAGAAAATATTGTAGTACTTCTTTCTCATTTTAGTATGTAACTTGTGACACAAATATAGCAGAAATCTTGTCATTTGAAGAGTTAGACACTAAGTTCAGTCATTACACTGTGCACCAGAAGATAGGTGAAAATGTCAGTGTAACTTGTGCGGTGCAGTTGAATCAATACTTCCAAAACATGACCCGTAGCTACGTTCTCTGAATGAAATGGATTACACTGCCAGCACAACCTTTGAGAAAGTGAATTTGTTAGTGAGATCCTATCTTGTAAGTCAGTAACTCAAAACCAGTTTCCTTTTCTGAAATGCTATCATGATAGCCGCAGCAAATTGAAAAAAAAATTACAAGTTCCCCTTTGGAAAAACAGATGGGAAAGAGGCTGCCTTCTGCCTTGTCATGGATGACTGATAGGTATCAGAATTTTTGCAGTGCTGTAGGAAAATGTTTTGTTCGCTGATTTTTTAAAATAAATTGGTATCCCATGGTTGGCTGGCTATTAGTAGGCAGAACTGCAGGGAAATAACATTTTGTCTCCAAACTAACTTTCTAAATGACTTTCACACATGGATAGCTGGCATTCGTACCTCAGCACTCCTTAACCTCAGCTGGCATTTATTCTCCTTCCCTGTCACCTGCGTTCCAAACACATGGGTGTCTGTCACCCCAAGCAGGCTTTAGGAAAGATCTGAATACCATGAGGCCAGTTACTGCCTAAGAAGTAAAGTTGTCTTTGTGCTTCACTGCAGAAAATAAGAAAAAGCCCTAGAACTTGCCCCTTGGAAGCTGGATAAGGGATGTCTTCCAACACTTACTGTTGCCTTTTCAAAATCACTCATCTTTTTTGCTTATTATGGCCATCAGGTTTGAAAATGCCAGAGAGAGATAACAAGCATCACCAATTATTCTTATCTCATAATTCAAAATTGCACTTTTAATTCAGGCTATTAATAACCTGCTTGATGTTGTTGTACCAGATGAAATGATCATTTCAAGGCCAAAATTTGTTCTTGATTGGAGGTCATTGGGTTGATAAATATGCTGGGCTTTTCCACCACTGATTTGGAAATTATTTTAGGTACATTTTGCACAATTCTGAATTATTTAAATAGGTAATAAAGAACCAGGATTCACTTCTACCTTATCAATGTGAAATGCTTTAATTAGTGGGTTTAATATGTATGTACTCCATAATACATATTTGTAGAAGAAAAATCAGCTTCTGGTTCCATTTTGTCATATTTGGACAAAACACAATTGAGAGTTGAAACATACTTTTCTAAAACCAGAATATATTAGATAATTTGAAGGAAGCTCACTCATTCCTTCAAATAAGTAGGAGTATAATGCCATTCTTTAAATAAATAAACATTAAAAATCAAAAGTAAAACCAGCACAAATATCACTGGTAAAAATTAATAGTGAGCAATTTAAAATCCTAGCACAGCCTTATGGAATTCTGAAAGATACATTATCCCCTGTCAGTGGCTGCCAGAGTAGATCCTATTCAAAATGGAAGATCTTGAAAAAAAGTGTTGTTAATCCCATGGAAGAAACTATGAGGTTAAAAAAATAAAAATCATAAGAGAACTTTTTGGCTTCAGGCTTTTATATTCAGCTTGTAAATCTTCCCCAGATAAGCACAGAGAAATTGTCTCATATTCTAAAGTTAGTTACCCATATAAGCACTTAGGTTTGGACTTATGTAACAAAACAGAGAATGTAGAGGCTTTTCTCTGGAAGAAGTGTGGTTCTTTCCTGGCTTTTCCTCTTCAATTCCCCAGCATTTCCTCCAGTTCATTTTGTGTTGCTTTTAATTTTGTCTATTCAGCTCCATAGACTGGAAATGTAAAAATGCTGATGGCCCACTGTTCGTGTGTTGGTAACTTCAGTACTTTGAAATGAGGAAACAAAAACAGTCATCATCTTGTATTCAGCTTTGATGTCACTGTGTGTATTTTCTGAAGAGCAGGTGGATTTCATGGGTGGATGTGGCAAAACATAAAAGGCTTAAGACAACGTACCATATATTTTTCTCACAGCAGCCTACAAAGGTACATGAGTTTACAGGACTAACTAAATATGGATTTTGGCACATGCAGATGGATTGCAGGCCAGAAAAGTCAGTGGATATGCTATTGACCATGTGAGATGGCTGTTGAATTGAATCTCTGCAAACATGCTTATTTCTCCTTCCTCATCTGTCTAACCATTCCCACGTGGCACATGGCACAGGTTGTGAGCTGTATATCTTTTAAACTGTTTATTTACTAGCTTCAGTCCCAGTGCCATGACTCTCTCTTAAGGTTTTGTTAGGGCTGTGATTGCAGCTACATTCAAAATGTCCAGTGCTGCAATGCTGGAAACCCGGTCATTCTAAAAGGAGTTAGAAAAATGTAAATCCTGTTTTGCAGTGAATGGCAGGAGAGGAAGAACTTTGTTTTCTCAAGTGGTGCTTGATAGATAACTGCGCTGCAAATATTCCGGATATGCTTTTGTCTCGCTCTCGGATACAGAACTTTATCTTCTTTTTTCCCCTCTCCTTTTTGCAGGGACTTAAAGCAGCTGACAACGACCCTACAGCCCCACCATATGACTCCCTCTTAGTCTTTGACTACGAAGGAAGCGGCTCCACTGCTGGATCCTTGAGCTCTCTTAACTCCTCAAGTAGTGGTGGTGAGCAAGACTATGACTACCTAAATGACTGGGGCCCACGTTTCAAGAAACTTGCTGACATGTACGGTGGAGGTGATGACTGAACTTCAAAGTGAACTTTGGTTTCGGACAAGTACAAACATTTCAACTGATATTCCCCAAAAGCATACAGAAGCTAGGCTTTAACTTTGTAGTCTACTAGCACAAGTGCTTGCTGAAGGCTTTGGCTTAGGCTGCAAACCAATTTGGGCTCCGTGGAATATCAGTGATCCAATGCTGTTTGGAAAAAAATATTGAGCTCAGTTACACTTGAATTTTACAGTACAGAAGCACTGGGATTTTATGTGCCTTTTTGTACCTTTTTCAGATCGGAATTAGTTTTATGTTTAAGGCTTTAATGGTACTGATTTGTGAAATGATGCATTAAAGAGACAAAATATGTTGGGGTGGGGAGGAGTAAGGTGAAACACAATATACTTCACAATGCTTTTGTTACATCGCATTGCTTTTATTAAAATAAGGAGATTAAAAATAAACAAAAAAATCCTCATGGAACAATTTTATTATCTGGGAGAGAGAACCATGAGGTGGAACAATGTACATTACTTCTAGTTTTAGATGTTAGGGGACTTTTTTCACTAAAATTCTAAAAATTATGCAGCTGGTTGCAAATAAAGGGAGTTTTCATATCACCAGTTTGTAGCAGAATTGATTTTTTTTTTCTTATGCTAGAATGTTAGACACATTTTGGTCTTAATCCATGTACACGTTTTGGTTTTTGTTGGGTTTTTTTTTTTAATTTCTAGTATTTTTTTCCCACTTCACTGTAAAAAATGGTATGTGTACATAATGTTTTATTGGCATAGTCTGTGGAGAAGTGCAGAAACTTCAGAACATGTGTATGTATTATTTGGACTATGGATTCAGGTTTTTGCATGTTTATATCTTTCGTTTATGGATAAAGTATTTACAAAACAGGTTGCAAACAAGTGACATTGATTCAATTGTTGAACTGTAGTTAGAGTACTCAATATTTTTTTTATTTTTATTTTTATTATTTTTTTGGTTTGGGGAGGGAGAAAAGTTCTTAGCACAAAAAAGTTTTACATAATTTGTACCAAAAAAAGGGGGGGAGGGGAGTTGGCCTGATACTGGTGGCACGAGAAAATATACAGTATGTTTTCGGGGTGGGAGGGGGGGGAAGGAGCTTTCAAACTGGAGAGACTTCTGAGAACAGCTTTGCCTCTGTATTGTGTACCAGAATATGAATGATACACCTCTGACCCCAACGTTCTGAATAAAATGCTAATTTTGGATCTGGTGCTTGGTTTGGCATTTTTTCTTCCACCTGAGCAGCCCTGACCGCAGTAAATAAAAAGTACGCAAAATGTGTTTGAGTTCTGTGAGAAGTTGTGTGTGCTTCTTTGGCATTTCCTACTGCCAGACTGAAAACAAGCTGCATGTAGAAGAAAGCCCAGCACAAATTTGGAAGGCAAGTTCCCAGGTAAAAGCAAAGTGATCTATGCTGGGATTTCTGGGAATTCACAATTTTCAGTTCCCCAGTGATGGGGTGGGGATGGCTCTTTAGTTTAATGTGCATTATCTAAATAAGAACTTGCATAATTTTTGGCTCATTTCTAGACTGACAGTTTAATGGATGTGCGATTATGCTGCAGGTTGCATAAATAAATTGCAGATTGTGGCAATCCTCTGCTGCCTGGACTTTCTTGTGCTGAAGTGAAGACAAGCCCCTGGTAACCTGAGTGCACATCAAATCGTGTCCTTCAAGGAGGTGCTCACATTCATGGAGCTCTATCAAAAAGCCCCATTAAGAGATTTGTCATTAGTAAACATGTTTCTGACCTGTTACCATGATTTACTTGCAAACCAAGCAACCATAGTAGGTACAGTTCTGTCTTTGTTCTCTTGCAGCAATCTGCTCAGGTTTAATGCCTACATTTACAGACATTAAGGACCTAATTGTGAACGGTGTGAGCCTCAAACAAAATGCTCTCAGTGGAAAGGGAGGGGAACCAGGCTCTGGCAGCAAAATAATCTGGCGGGAAAGCTCATCACTGGTGCCACTTCAGTGCTTCCTCAGCACTCACACCATAATTTACATAATTTGACTTTGGGACATAAATCCCAAAATCTGATTTGGGGAGGGTTAACGCTGCGTGGGGAATGTCTCCTTTTTTTGCTCCTGATGAAAGGTAGCAATCCTCTCAGGTTGGGATATAGTATTTCAGCTTCTGCACACCTGGCTATTATTTATATCATGCATTTGCAACTATAACTTAATGCTGTAATATAGCCTTGATTTTTGAGTAATGTGTCAAAGTTACCAACAAGCACTGTTAAGCTATTTCCAAATTCAATTTGTAATATACAGAACAAAGCATGTAGATCAGGACATGGAAATAAAGTCTGACCATGCATAGTTAAGTAAGGACAACTTTCATAAAGGGCAGATTTTAAACTGTCAATGCATGTTAAATAAGCAGAAGACAGCTTTTAGCACACAAAATTATGCAAAAATGTATTTCAAGCGTAATCTAGTATTGTTACTTTGAACCAACAAACTGAAAATGCTAAATGAACTTTATTCATTGACACTGAATGTTAAAAGACACACTGGGAGAGAGATCTGTGAAAGATTTCCCGTTCGGGCTATAGCACAATTTTTTGTTAAAAGTGGACAGAGGTCATCTTTTATAAGCACTTGACTGTTCTGCACAGCACTAGGAGCTTTATCTTGATCACACGGACAGCCAGCTCTACAGCTCCTTTGAAATTGTAGCAACAGTTCTCAGACCTAGTGATAGTTCAGCATTAGGTCTGCTGAACAGAACAAAGAGATTTTATGCATCTCAACTGCTTATAGAAGAAGAAAAAAGATCTTTGAACTGATCATCTTTCATCAAGTTTCAGATTCATCTTTATTCTAGAAATGTGCAGCCAGGTTTTGTACCTGTGATACCTGCTTCAATGCCCATCAGAGGGCTGCACTGAGAGGAAGATGGCTGAACATTGGTTGGGCCCTACAATATTTTTGAAAAACAGAAACTTTGGCAGCCTAATTTGTAAATAGCATTTGGTAGTAGCATATATTACCTCTGCTTTGTAGACACTGTATCCAAGGGAAGTTACTGGCAAGAAATGAGGCTTGAGCAACTTCTACCTTTCAGCCTTTCTGCAATTTGTATTTTTTTCAATGATAGTCTTTCATAGCCTATATCCTTCTCGGCTTCAGGGCTGATAAAGGTGGGGAAGAGTGGTTTCAGGAAATAAACATTTGAAATGGATACTGATGGCCTTATGGCAAATGGGTCTACCCTGCTGCATTTTCTCTGGGATTGCCAAATACTGATGAATATAGGCTAATACTCATCCCATAATAGTCTAAAATGTACTCACCATGCTCCCTCCAGGTAGTTGAATTCTGAAGTGGTTCTTTTGGTACTAAAGTAACAAAGTGACTAAAAGCCACATGAAGGCTGCTGCTTAGGAATTCTCTTTCTTGGTATGCAGTACTTTTTTGGACTAGACTACTGTTACCCAGAACATTAACATCTACTTTGCCATGGTCCCATTCACCTTAACACCCGAGGGAGAATATCTTCTGACAGCTGATGGGACACACAATTCCCAAAAGGGTCTCTAAAACCTTTCTGTAGTTACTAGAGGTGTCTTATGTAAGCCACTGCCAATTCTTCCTTTACACAACTGCTCCCACTTTCCTAAGGAACCTTTCTGCTAGCAGTGGTAGCATAATTTTGACATATTTACCTTTCTGGAGTGTGAAAGCAAAGTTCCAGCTTTTACCTTAGTCAATATTTATTAGTCAAATAGAAATCAGAAAAGTCAGATGAATGCTTAAATACCTAATCCACAGTGGTATATTTTATACACAATTTTCAGCCAGGGATGATCCACATTTGTATGGTGTCCTTATTTTTTATTTGTTTTGCATTTGCTTAAATAAACTTTAATGTTTAGTCTCTCTCTAGACAAAGATCTTTCCTAGGAATTTCTTTAGAGCATAGGATAAGTTCTCTTTACTTAATATATGTCACAGGAATAACGAAAATATTTCCCTTGAGCAACAAAGCCCAGCTGGGAAACAGAAGTGAGGAAGAAAGATTAAGGAAAAAAGGCTAAGTGTTCCTCACAGGGACCCAAGGTGCTTTCTATCACACAGACAGGGAAAGAGCATCCCATTTGTTAGGGACCCTTTGATGAATCAATGCAAGACACTCTTCAGCCAACCTGTGCCTCTGTACTGGCCAAACATCTTTTTGGGTGTAACAGAGAACTTGGAGATGTCCCTTCTCTGGAATTCTCTGTGTCAGTGCTGCTTCCCGTCCTGCTGGGTTACATTCCAGCACTGTGCTTTCCCAGTTTTCCTCCTCAGTTTACCTAGGAAGTTGAACAGTGCCAAAACTCACCAGGTTTTATGTAACTTTCAGTTTACGAGCCACAAAGAATCAAGGTCTTAAGTCTTGTTTTGCTTTGGTTGTTTTGCTGTAGGCTGGAGGACATGTTCTCCACACAACAATAGCTGGGAAGGCTTTGTCTTCCTCTTCAAGTTCAGTATCCTGAACTGTATTTTACCCCCGTAACCTCTGTGTGCTTCTAGGCCATCTAAAAATGCAGCAATTGCCAGTGATACAGTAGACACTTATAATCAGATTTCGCATTTATGATGTGCTCTCTTGACATTTCTGCCACAGAAGGACATATCCTGTGGTGACAACATGACACTGCAACCCCACACAGAGAGCTTTTTGGAAAGATCAGTCGGGGTGAGGTGGTGGACATGGGCTAACTGAGCTGCTCTCCTGTTGCCCTGGCTGCAGAGAATGCATTTCTGTGTGTGTAACTGTTGCCTCTCGGAAGATTTAAGCATAATTGCAGGTCTTTTGCCACTCTTCTCTGAGCACAAAAAAGCTCCCATGTAGGATGCCTGGAATGCACCCACACATCATCATCTCCTGCATGCCTTGCCACCTTTATAATCATTTACTGCCTCAACAAGATGGTCATTATTTTCTATTTGCTTCCATCTTTATTCTTCTCCCCCAGCTATGTTTCAGAAAATACCTAAGAGCATTTGTCTTTCATTAACAAAGGGAATGAACTCTGGTTTATTATTTTTGTTGCTTGTTGCATTTCCCATCTAATATGTAGTTTTTAAACCCTTTTGCCTTCCATAAGCAAATTCGACTTTCTTAGTTCTCTTGGCAAGGCTGAGAAAATGCTTCCACTTTTGTTTCCGTTTCTACTTAACCCATTTTCAGTTTTTGTAAGAATCTCTTTTGCTCTTGTTTTCAGACCTTAAATCAATATTCTGTGAAAAACAGTGACCAACCTCTTCTTCTTTAAATTGGCTATTTTCCCCTCCTAATAGGGAACATGCTTGTAGAGTTCCTACTTTCCTGTGTTGCACCCAGGAAAAAAGTTAGATTTTTCATTGTTCACAATGGATTTTATTTATGACTATTTCTTAAAATATATTCATTTTGAAAGGCTTTTTTTCAAGCACTAATGCATTTTTAAACCTCATGGTGGTACACATTTATGCAATTTCATGAAACCACCTTCAGGTGGTTCACTCCCTCCCAAAGAGCCTAAATACTGATTCCAAAAGAAACATATTTTGCTCTGGGTACGAATAAGGAATAGTAGCATTGTGCAAATTACTTTTATACTCCTGCTTCTGAAGATAAAATGTGTTGATATGGTATGGGTATATACAGACAGATCCATGGGCCCACCCGTTCTGGGTTCCAAATTACAGAAGTTTGATTATTACATTACATTTGTTATCTGCAGTACTGCAGAGTGAGCTTATAAACACCCAGCTGTCTCTGTGTGCCATAAATCAAAAGTAATGGCCAGATAATCAAAATTATGTTCCAATTCTAGAACATTCATTACTCGTGGCATTGTGTGAAGCAGTTATAAAAACAAGCAG